TTTTTTTAATGGTTACTTTCTTTTTTTGAGACAGGATCTTGCTCAGTTGCCCAGCCTAGAGTACGTTGGTGCAATCTCGGCTCACTGCAACCTCCACTTCCTGGGTTCAAGCCTTCTGAGTAACTAGAATTACAGGAGTGCTCCACCACACTCAGCTAATTTTTGTATTTTTAGTAGAGACAGGTTTCGCCATGTTGGCTAGGCTGGTCTTAAACTCCTGACATCAAATAATCTGCCTGCTTCGGTCTCCCAAAGGCGGCACTCCAGACTGGGCAACAGAGGGAGACTCTGTCAAATTAAAATGAAATGAAGTGAAATAAAATAATTTAGTTATGCAAGTTACACATGAAAACGTTCTCATTGAAAATTGAAACAATAACAATAAATTCATATTCTGACTTGACTTCCATTCAAACCCAGTTCCCTTTCCAGAAATGAGCAGTTAAGAATTTGGTGTCTCTGAGCTGCAGTAGCACATTTAGCACCAAAAAAAAAAAAAAAAAGAATTTGGTGTGGATACCATCAAGCCTTTTCCCCTGCTTTTTACTTAATATAAATAAATACATATGAAAAGCTATAACTATGGCAATAAAAGTTTGGTTTAGTCTTGTAAATATTTTTAACATAAACTTGACCTTATTCACTACAATGTGCTTTTTCACTAAACGAATATCTTTGAGACTTTTTCTTATCAGGACATAAGATCTGCTTCCATTTTTTGGGTCTGCTTTCTCAAACTCTTTCCTAGAACTCTTTGGTATGAGATTGTCTTGTTACTATTGACACACATTTTTGTTTCATTTTTTTAAATATTAGAAAGAATGCCTCAATGAAAATGAAAGTTCAGAGACGTGGAACTTTCTCTTGCCCAAGGCTTCGCAGACAGTATCTAGTAGGAGCAACCTGTGTAGAGCATGAGAAGATGTGCTCTTTTTTTTAATTTTTATTTTTAATTTTTATATATGTCATGTTTGGTACATGTGGGATCATTTATCCATGATAGATATTTAGAGGTCAAAGGGTATGTGTATTTTAAATAAGTATAGTAAATAATATATTCGTAAGTATTGTGAGACTATATAACTTAAGCTGTTTTTGAGTCCTTTTTGTTTTTATTTGAAGGTGAGAGTTAATTGTTTTGCTTCATATCCTGGCAATTGTGCAACCTAAATGAAAGTTTGGAATGTGAACAGTTAATCCCTTTTAGAATAGGCAATATGCTACCTCTCAGGGTACAACTTCTGTGCGTTTTACTTAGGAGAGCTTATCTTTTGTACCTATGCATGTTCAGAGACTCAATGACATGAAGTCATTGGAGGATTTGGCTAAAGATTTTAGAGCATGACTTCGTTCTTGGGTGGAAATTATTCATTATTTGTTCTTGCACTTTTGGAGTTTGGTTTGGTTTCCTACTTTGGCTTTTCCTTGTTATTGAGGAAGCGAATGCTATAAGGCAGCGTGGTTAATTTGTGCACCTGGCTAATTATTTTTTTGTAGAGAGAGGGTTTCACTATGTTGGCCAGGCTGGTGTCGAACTCCTGACCTCAGGTGATCCACCCATCTCGGCCTTCCAAAATGTTGGGATGACAGACGTGAGCCACCACGCTCGGCCTTAAAATTTTGTTAAATTAAAAATCGTGTTAAATAAATGGAGATGGGGATCTTGCTATGTTGCCCACACTGGTTTCAAACTCCTGGGCTCAAGTGATACTCATACCTCAGCCTTCCAAAGTACTGGGATTTCAGGTGTGAACCACCACACCTGGCCCATCTTCTTAGTCCGTCATATGAAATTGTCTCATGGTCTACATGGTTTGCTCCCACTCCTTTAAATATGGAACCATAGCAAGCCATTTGATACCTCTGTTACCTATATTAAATTGAACACCAATCATTCAGAGTTGTATACATATATGTCCTGATATCCAAATGTATTTGATTTACAGTTTGGATATATAGCCTTTAGAAAGTAAATTTGGATATCAAAAGATCTGCATTTACTTCATATACTGTGTCCTGCTGAGTTTTGGGTAACAAATAGTGGTAGTTTGGATAGCAAGGAATTTATTTGAAAATTTAATTAAATCAGTTCAGTTCCTGAGTTTACCTACTAAGGATTTGAACACTGAGGGTTTCCATAGAAGCAACAGTTGTATCTCAGTTTACTTGGTATACATTGTAAAAAAGTGTGGAGCTGCCTGGCCAGCTCTGGTAGAGGTCAGGGAGGGTTTGCATAGCTCCGATAGCCCCATGCTGGGTATGGGTCCAGAGGGAGCTGTAGGTGGTCTGGCTAGAAACCAGGACTAGATTTCGAAGACTTTTTGAGGGTTGGGTATTTGTTCTTCTCTCTCTAGCTGTGGCACAGAATCGTTGTGCGTAAGTAGTTAATGATAATTAGAATGTCCGTTTGAAAGTTATTACAAGTTGAGAAGGGAAGTTAAAGCTAAAATTTTCCCGTTTTAAAAATTACCTATACAATATTTTACAGTAAATATGTTTAATGACTTTTTGTTGAACTGAAAAGAGAACAAAATTATGAAGGTGGGATTTTCACAACTGAAACTAGAATTTCCCTAGAGGTTAAATTTTGGCCTGGATTTTACTTTGGGGGAAAATAAAAGTTCTTTTAAATTTTGTTAGCTCTTGATTAATATAAAGTGGTGCTGCATGTCGAGTCTGCTTTTTTTTGACAACTTTATGTTTGACCATAATCCAATCCAGCATAACTGTTTCCTGTTGTTTAGGACACATAAGAGCAAAGATCAAGAAAGAAAGCATTCCACGTTGGCATCCAAGGACTCCCCTCACATCACATTTTCTTTAATCTCTAACCCTGGAAGGTCTGTCGTTTGAGGATGAAATGAATGTATTACCACTTATTTAGTGATTTGCACAGAAAACCATTTAAAAATCTTTGCAATTTCGCTTCTTACTATGGGATTTTTGAATGGTCTTCTGTGGATTTAAGTAGCTTATAACATATTTTTAAAATAATGCAGTTAGCTACAATAAGAATTCATTTATTTAAAAGAAAGCAGTGCTTTATATTTTGTTGCCATTTCAAAGGATGCGTATGATAGGTCCTCAATAGATTATGATCTCACGAGTCAATGAGAATAATTTATTCTTAGGGTCCTGATGAAGAAGCTGTTGTGGATCTTGGCAAAACTAGCTCAACTGTGAACACCAAGTTTGAAAAAGAAGAACTAGAAAGTAAGTTTGTTCAAAATAACTTACTTTGCTTAGTTGGATAAATTACTAATTAATGTTTGTTATAAGTATCCTCTTAAGTTTTACCTAGTATTTGTTGAGTTTTTGTTTGTTATTGTAATGCATACATTTAGAAGAGTGCCATTTGAAAGTACTGGCAAAAGATAAGAGTTCAGAATGCTTTTCAGAATTTAGTGATGGTTACCATTAACTTAACTTGGAAAACTGAAGAAAGGCCAGAGTCACAAATTTGGTTAATTCTTTTATGTTTTTCATTTCTAGCAGGCCGAGTAATTTGTATAATGAGTACACTAAAGTGCCAGACTAATAAACGACAGTTATCATTAGTTGCCATCTAAACATTCATTTTATAGGTGTTACATTAGCCTTTTAAAGTGTTGCAATAACCTCTGCATAGAGTTTTAGAGCAACTGAGTTATTTGCCCATCATTCCTCCTTAAACAGGAAGAAGTCCTGGCATGTGGTTTCTTTCCTTTATAATAATTTTAGATTTACAGAATAGCTGCAAAGGCAGCACAGAGCGTTCCTCCATACCCTTCACCCAGTTTCTTCTAATGTTAACATTTTGCACAGCCATGCATTTGTGTAAACGAAGAAAGTAACACTGGTTAATTACTAATTTAATTAGAATCTGATTAATTACTAGTTTACTATTAAACCACAGATTTTAGGCTTTACTGGGTTTTCCACTAATGGCCTTTTTCTGTTCTAGGATTCACTTGATCCAGTTCAGGCTCTGTAACAGTACATTTAATTACAAGTCTCCTAATCTATACCAGTTCCTCATTCTTTCTTTGTTTTTCATGACTTTGACACTTTTGAAGAGTAATGGTTAGATATTTCATACAATGTTTCTCAGTTTGGGTTTAGTCTGATGTTATCAAGAGTAGGTGGGGTTATAGGTATTTGGGAAGCATGCTACAGTAACATGCCCTTTTCAGTTCACTGTATCTGTGGACAGTATGATATCAACATGACTTATTATTGATGATGTTAACCACGAACACGTGGTTAGGGTGGTGTTCATAGCAAATGTTTTGATAGACATTTTTGGGGGATGTTTTTAGAAACTATACATCATTAAGTTAAAATCTTCAATGAGAGCTAGTAGTATATTGGGTTATCAATTGTTTATTTTAAAAAAGAGATGGACAGAGAAACAAGAGTTTTCATTTATATTGTAAGTTTTTTCTTTTTTTTTTTTTTTAACTCTAAAAATGGGCTTTAAGAGCCTAGGCTTGTTAGGGCTTCCAGAAAGAACCTCAGTTATCAAGAAGCTTATGGTTAGATCCTGTGAATTATAGGAGCTAGGGAGGTTAAAAATGTTAGTGCTAATTTTACTAAGTCAAGTGTACAGTAATACATTTAATGTTTAATGTCAACTCTCACCTATACGTGACCTGGAATATGAAGGGAGAGGCACTTGGCTATGTTCCTTCACTTCCTTTGGTTATCACAGGCCCTAAGCTCTGCATACTTTGTATACAACTACATTTTGATATCAAGTTTGAGGGAGATACTAAGTTTATCTAAGAGAGTTTGAGTAAATAGGCTCTTGATAGAATAAGTAAGAGCAGAAGAAAAAGGAAAGAGAAAGAAAAAAATTACAACAGAGGACACTAGGGGCAATAGTAAAAGAAGAAAATACAATAAGGCTTAATCTACCAATCTTTGGATTCTAGTGTGTTTTTATTTATTTTATCTAGTCTTTCTAAACTGCACACTCATGGCATTTATTTTTATCTTGGTGCATTGGGGCTGTGTGCCAAGACCCATTAGTACTAATTGGAGGAACAACGTTGTAATTCCCAGTGGAGTGATGGGAATTTAACTGTTTAATTTCCACTTTTCTTTATGTTCTGAAAGAAATAGTTTCATTAGAATAAAATTGAGTTTTGTTATATTTATTTCTTATTGCTTTTTAATTGATAATTCACATAACATAAAATTGACCATTTTAAAGTCTACAATTTTTTAAAAAATGTATTCACTGTATTATGCAACCAACACCATTGTCTAATTCTTGAAACATTTCTATCATTCCAAAAAGAAACCCTGTGTGATTAGCTTTTACATTTGGATTTTTTTTTTTCTAGTAGTTGAGATTTAATTCCATAGACATTTATTAAATGCTTACCATGTGCTAAGCTAGAGTACTGGGAGATGTTGAAAAAATTATTTTAGTTCAGTGTGTTACGTCTGCCCCTCTTTTAATTTAAAAGGTGATTTTTTACTTTATGACATTCATACATTGGCAGCTGAAATAAGATGTTAGAGTATCACATTTTCAGCCTTAGCTGGGGATATGAGTGTCAGGCAACTCAAATTTTCTGCTGCTCTGTGCCTGTCCGAAAAATGGCATGAAGTCTTAACAAGTATTGATTTTGTGGTTACTAGTAAATGTTAATGAATCAGCAACTTCACAAATATGGAATCCCAAAAATAATGAGGATCAACTGTACTTCAAATCACATATAAAGATGGAGATCCCAAGTCTCTTGAAGTACTTGTTTTCTGACCGTCTTATGTTAGGAAAAGAATGTCATTAACTATTTGTATTTCAGCACATTACTTTTTAAATTGTGTACATAGTTGCAAATTAGTTGACCTTGTAGTTCACATCCCCCTTCACTCAACACTCATTTGATATTTGACATAGTGCTCCTAGCTCTGTGGCTAGGATTCCTGATTGAGTTTCATCTAGTGGGCAAAAGCAGAGACTGCCTTTCATAACTGTTTTGTTGGTAGACTGCAAAGTTAGGATAATGCAATATCAGCAGGAACTTTTACTGGTTTAAAAGCAAAGTAACTTACTGCTTTTTTATCTAATCTGACAGTTTCTACCCTTTATTTGGATTATTTACATTTAATGTAGCTCTCAGTAGTTTGGTCTTTATTGATTTTTTTCAAAGCTCTAAAAAATTAGTAAATATATTTTTTATAAAGTGTTTAATTGTTATTAAAATTTATATCTTAAGGACCTCTACTAACTATGGTTGGCCATCAATGTAGATGGAATAAATATATGTCTACGTAGTATGATTTCAGGTGGGCTGAGCTCTTCTTTCTTAAGATATCTTTTTAGATGTACAAATATTTACATAAGAGATTCATAGATTTAGTACAATCACCTGTCAATGATATTAGCACTTGGCATAATATTCTGTGTAGTGCTTTGTAAAATAAGAGAAGTAAATGGAGACTATCATTGTTAATTACACAAACTTATATTCTTTATCAGAGTAGATTTTGAGTACGTTGGCATATATCACTTTTTTCTCTTTTGGAAAGCTAGTAATATGTTTGTGAACCTTTTCATAGGTCATAGAGCTGTATATATTGGTGTTCACGTCCCGTTTAGTAAAGAGAGTCGTCGGCGTCATAGGCATCGTGGACACAAACATCACCACCGGAGAAGAAAAGATAAAGAATCAGATAAAGAAGATGGACGGGAATCTCCTTCTTATGGTAAGAGAAAACAGTTCTCCTTTAACAGTTTAAAGTTCCTGTTTTCCAGGAAAGTATTTTCATTTAATTGAATATTTCCTTTTAAACATTGTATGTCTGCAGTAATGCAGACACATTGTATACATGGGGGAATACCAATTGAAGTAAGAAATTGTTTTTATTTGGCAAGAAAAATCTTTAAGTCCAGATCTCTTTGGTATAAGTAAAAAAATAAAGGGCTTTGTTTTCTTTATTGTATCCCATCCTTGGAATTGTAGAACTTATGCCTAGTCACTTAACCTCAAATTTAGCAGTGTTTCATTTTCTTTTTTCTACTGTGTATTTAATTACTTACATATGCAATGAATAGACATTGGGAATGCTAAGGCTGTCATGGAAGGGATTAAAGTTTTTTTCCTTTTTTTGAGGAAGAGTCTTGCTCTGTTGCCCAGGTTGGAGTGCAGTGGCACCATCTCAGCTCACTGCCCCAGGCTGGAGTGCAGTGGCACCATCTCAGCTCACTGCAACCTCCGCCTCCCAGGTTCCAGTGATTCTTGTGCCTCAGCCTCCCAAGTAGCTGGGATTACTGGCACATGCCACCATCCTCAGCTACGTTATGTATTTTTTGTGGAGATGGAGTTTCACCATGTTGGCCAGTCTGGTCTTGAACTTGTGACCTCAAGTGATCACCCTCCTCGGCTTCCCAAAATACTGGGATTACAGGTGTGAACCACTGTGCCCGGCCTTTTTTTTCCTTCTTACACCACATTTTGGCCAGAAGATTTTATCCACCAGGCTGGATTACTTGGTTTTCTGTGCAAAAAAGAGTACTCTGATTTGATTGTGTTATTTATGTAAAAGGACAGGGTTTTTGTTTGTTACTTAAAAGCAGAGAAGTATAGCAGTACCAATAGAAATCAGAAAGAAGAAAAGGTATATAGTAGAGGGACAAGACTTTACCTGATAATAAGCATTGATAGCCTTGTTTTAAGTGACCTTGAGAGTGGGAAAGGAGAGAACCAAAAAAAAAAAAAGGCTGTAAAACCTGAGGAGGCTTCTTAGACGTTATACTTAGTTGACATACAGGGCATTATTAGTATAAGGCCATCTGTATACCATGAGTCCTTGCGTGTGCTTTCTAAAGCAAAGAAAGCTATGTGATCTGCGTCCTATTGGTACCTGTGTGCTAAAGGAAAGTTTTTGTGAAAAAGGCAAGGAACAAAAAATTACTATGTATAATACAGTTGGTACATGAATACAGGAAAGAAAATACTGATGGCCTACTAAAATATAAAGGGCAAATTCTGTGTCTAAATATTCTACGAAGCCCTAGACATATGGTCTTGTATTTAACCATCTTAACGTTTTTAATATTCAGCCATCTTAGCATTCAAAAAATACAGGTAAATTCATTTTATAGATCACGAACCTTCAGCCCAAAAAGACTGACAGGAATCTATTAAGAAACTGTACTGGCCGGGCGCGGTGGCTCACGCCTGTAATCCCAGCACTTTGGGAGGCCGAGGCGGGTAGATCACGAGGTCAAGAGATCGAGACCATCCTGGTCAACATGGTGAAACCCCGTCTCTACTAAAAATACAAAAAATTAGCTGGGCATGGTGGCGC